CGAAGAGCCTAGGAAAGACGGACCAAGAAAGAGAACCGGGAGATGGCAAACATCTCATAGTGTTAGAAGATGAAGTACCCGAAATGACTTGGAGACCTAGTGCACAGGTATCCAATTATTGGACGGAGCCTGCCTAGGTACTATTATGACCCGTATCGCAAATATTGATACAGTGGTTTTTTGAGACGGTACTGCGCAATTTTCCAGACACCATATTGAGCTCAGCATTTCAATAATTGCAATTGAATGTGGGCCTAATTACCCAAAGGAAACTCACTGTGCCGTTTCACCACGAAATTCATATGAAATGGAGTAAAAATCAAACACAATGGAGTTAAATGCTCCATAGATTTTATATCTTAATTAGCAGTACAGTGGTGCTATGTTTGACTATTACGACGATGACTCAAAGACTTATTGATTCAAGACTGACAAAAAGAGAAATCTTAGTATACTACGCTCATGGAACGGAAGCCTTTATTATCAAGTATCGTGTTTGAACTATCCAGAAAGAAAACAGATGTGCGACCAAGGAGAATATGAAAATTGCCCCAGCCTCTGAGGCGCTAACTTTCTAAATTCAAGACCAAGGTATCGAGGATTTTTTAGCAATTTTCACTCGCTTTCTCACTCAATGTTCAAAATATACAAAGTAAACTTTCGACCTTCAGAGTAAAGTTTTACATCTCGTTATACGTCTGTTAGGTTATTTTGAAAGGCACGCCCGCCCTGCCTTCACGATGTCAAGTCGCCTTTTAAACATGGTGATCCGCCTACCGGATGTATACATAAACTAGCAAGCTCAAAAATACAAAGAAAAGACGCTTGCTCGCGATACAGCTTCGCCACTAAGCCATGGGGACACCCAGACGGCCTTCATTTTAAAACAGCTACCATTATATGTGCAGTATTGTTCATGCTTTACTCAACATCTATCCCAATCATTGAAGTGAAGAGTGTATGAGTTGTAATGAACGGCACTCAACGGTTGAGAATGCGCCCATTCCTTATATACGCACAAACGCGTATTCACCGCCATAGGCCTTCTATATAGAGTGCTTCAGGCGGTTGTGTGCGAGCTCCTTTATATCCTATCATTACTGAATAGATAGTCATTATATTGAAGCTTGCAGGACGGGTCTTTCCATTTTCAAACCCGGCATGCTTCAAACGCTTATTTCTCACACGTTTTTATTTGCATTCCAAACCATCCATCTAAACTGCTTTACCAATCCTTCCACAGCAACCAAAGGAGGACGACGCTTATTACCGCAATTTGGCTTGTCCCTTAGAGTGGAGTTATTCCGTGCAGGTTTTCGGGAGGGCATGAATTAAAACTGCCTCGATTAAGGCGCAAGCAAGACTGACTGCGTTTTTCTGCACCCCAGGGTCGTGTTGAGAAGTGACTGGCTGTCGAACTCGACGTCATAGGGGAATATTACTTGCACTAGTGACGAAGCTCAGTTGATGCCAGGGCACGTCGTATGTTGGAGATTTCTAGCAAGGGGATCTCAGTTGGTCGTTGAAAGGGGGACTGTCGTATTTGCCTGAGAGGAAAATGTTTTTGGTTGTTGATGTTTCTCGGTTTTTTCTGTTCCACGTTAATGTTTCATTTCATCGTTTAGCGCTAGCTTTTTGAGGAAAAAGTGAAGGAATACTGAAAAAAAAACTCCGAGAAAGTGGCAGGAATTTGGTAGAAGTAGGAAGGTGGGAGATAGGATCGGAAATGCAGAAGGAGAGAAAGCGGGTAGCACGAAGTGGATCTGTCCAGTGGGATCGTATTTTGTGGAAGTTTTGCTCAGTGATACTACGTGCCCTGATAGGAGAACCTAAACATGTTTTAGAAGCGGAAATTACAGCGTCTTAGCAGACCTGCACCTCTTCCGCGCTGTTGTAAATCCCACGAAATTCACCGCAGGCGCTCTATCGCGTCTTGTGAAGTGATGACCCAGCCTCCAATTCATACGTAATAATAGAGATATTGCTTAGCAAAGATGCTGCAGTGGTTTGGCGTCTCTCAGTACGGTCACCTAAATGGAATCCAGTGGGCAGTAAAGCCCTTCTTTTCAGAAAAGGCCATTTGGCACCATAATCGTCGGGAGAATGAAAGCGCAAACTCGTAGATCCGCTGGCCTCGCCAACTTTCGCAAAGGCGGAGTGACATACAGAGACCGTTACGATTCGGAATCAATGTGAAATACACGGCTCATTCTGTACAAGGTCATTACCGGATGTTTCAAACTATCCTTCGTGTATATGTGAGCATGCCTTCAGAAAAAGTTATCAGAGGAACTGGAAAATTTATTCCTATAGTGCACATTTCAAAGTGTCCGCAATCCACAAGTTAGCAAAAATTTTTCCTAGGCATGTCTGTTGTGTTCAGCCCGTTCTCTCCCAGTTACTGAAGCGAGTAAGCAACAGCAATTGGTGAAAACGACTGGCATAACGATACGGTACAGTTTTGTCGCTTGGTAAAATAAAATAAGCATGCTGGTGCCGCACCAAACCCGTCCTCCTGAAACGTTCCGTCATCCGTAGCGTACATGACTGACCATCCCCTGTTTATGTGCCTTTTGAAATTGTCGGTGGGTTGTGGATAGGGCCGCGGTAGCTCTATCCATTTGCGGTGTTTTAATCCTGAACTCAAAAAAGGAAGGCCTCGCTACCCAGATGATCTCAAGTTTAAAAAAAAGGCTTTGCTACTCAGATGAGAGAAAGTGTACAGATGTCTAGAGCTGCTACTCTTGAAGCGTGGGCACTTCCTACTACGTTAGCGCCTAAAAATTTTCTCTTTCTACGAAGTTCTTAGTTTGTTATTCGCGCGCTCAGACTTGGAACTCACACTCAGATTTTCAGGCTCGGAATGTTGTTGTGCTGGTTGTACCTGCCGTCGTGTCGAACGTCTTCAAAAATTCGAAAACATCTAAATTATTGAATTCCTTCGGCATAAGTCGAAATTTTTGTTCTGCATTCTTTCACTCGTATTTGTCGAGGATTCCATCATTCTGTGAATTCCTCTGTAAGTATAATTTTATGGTTGAGAAGGGGCTATCTTGCCTTCTCCGTTTGTCGAAATCACCGTGTCTTTGTTTAATCCCGATTTGAGAATTAGGCTGAGCTCTTGGCAATCGTCTAGTTCAATGTTTATTTGTTTTAGCTTTTATTCCCGACGATAGTTAGACATGCTCGCTCTAGTTCCACACCTTTCAGTCTATTCGTTACTTGTACCGGTGTGTAATTCGAGGCTGTCTGTTTGCTAGTTCTAGACGACCGTTTTAATAAAATCGTACTTATTCAGCAGTGATTTGTTCTCACTATTGATGCGATCTGAACGCTACTTATTTTCATACAATTTAAACCAATAATGCAGAAAATATCACCCCTAACTGCCAGTTTAGATCAATGGTGAAATGAGCTTAGCAGTACCCAGTGAGCTGCTCAACAGCAGAAGAGAGTCAGATGAACGCACGAAATTTGGTATGTAAGCTATCGTGTAGAGCTCCCCTGTGAGTTAAGGTCATCCTAGTAGTTTGGGATTTTCAGAGCTGTTGGTGCTTATTGAGCGCTACTTGTCTTCCGGTCCTTGCACAAAGGCAGCCGCTGTTCTTCGACGCGAAATTGAAGAAAATGGGGTACTGGAGCTTTCTATATTCACTTTTTGCTGCCTTCGTAGGAACCATATGCGAATGTTTTTCGTTTAGCTCTTGCCATTTCGCTATGATTATCGTGGAAATACTCATTCAAGGACATACAGGGAAACTGTGAGTGTTCGCGCACCTTTCTTCACTATTTTATAAGAGACAAATCTTTTATGAGCTGATATATATTGGGACAGGGTTTATTTTCAAATACAGTTTGTTTATCTATACCGCCACCTAAGTCACGCTCCTCCCTTGCGACTTCTGCCTTGCTGTAGAGCTGGCACAGTTCGGCGACTGGTGAGGGGAGGGGGGGGGCATTATGCATTTTCGCTGCTTCACTAGTTCCGATTTTCGAGTGTGAAACTAAGCAACCCTTGCGAAGCTGTAACAAGACTAGCACCACTATTTCGTTGCTTACGAGAGGTAAAAGGTACTTTTAACAAGAGTGACAAGTGGTCTCTAAAACCGGGGCTGGTATCAGTGCTGAACAAACTGGACAAGGTTCCGCAGGTCTCCAGTGAGTGGCTCTGCAGGTCGAGCCATCACCTGGAGACCTGCCAAATCTTGTGATCGGGAAGTGGCAAAGTTTTCAAAGTTTCGGTGCTCAACTTCAACTTAATTATTGCCTTTTTGTGACTTGCATTTTCCTTAGTATCCTCCATAGTTTCCTTTTTTTATTACATTTACCGGCGCAGTACGGGTTGAAAGTGCACTCTGGTTGCTTCCCATCGGCTCGTCGAGAAATCAAGTAGAAATCTGTGAACGCTTGTGAAGCGATGAAGTGGTGCCTGTGAACATTTCTAGAGGCACACGTCAACGTCTGTAAAGCAATGACTACAGCAATGACAAGTGGGATATGCCTCCCTTCAAGTCAAACTGCCCCAACCGCTTCATCTACCAACATTAATGTCCCGTATTTCGATGGGCTGTGACTGACTTTCCCGCAGTCGCTTGCATTTACTTCTGAAGCTTGTATTCCGTAGAACCTTCTTAGATAATAGTTGACATTTTGGCGGTAATGCATCTACCTTGTTTACCTCGTCTTAAATGCCCCTTTGTTCTCCTAAGTGTGATCTCTATAGTACAACATCCATTAGCTGGGAAGCGGACTTGATGGCGTAGCGGATAACGCATCGCCCGATAAACGTGAGGTGTGGGTTCGGGTAAGGCCTGGGGTTTGAATTTTGCCCATAACTCAGTATTCATGTGATAGCTTTCGGAACGCGAACCACGGCGATGAACAACGGTTATTATATATAATTATCAACACTTCGGAAATCGCGTTTATACTTTCTTTTTACCCCTCTTCGTATTCACTCTATCAAAATGGTATAGTTACTGGATGCCTTATATTGTACAATGGAAGGAAAACTTTCAAAGGTGTCCGACCTCGCCCCTTCTGCCCCATCGCTGCTACATTTGATCGAACGCCTTTCTGTACTAGCCGACTCAGCAGTGCCACCATCTGTTCGTGGTCTTCCAATTCGTCTAATCAATAACAGAAGAAACTGCCTTTTGAGAACTCCAGGTTAGGTTTTTGGTATCGATTAGTAACAGGACTATTGAAGGCTGAGCCCGCTTTCAAATTTGACGAGTATGCGGCTCAGATAGTAATAACAAGGTTGCAGTAACCCATCTGTGAAGGAAAGTCAAAAAGGAATCATGGAAAATGTTCTATAAAATCCTTATGCCGGACTGAAGTTGTACGTGCTCAAGGCGAAGAGAAATAGCGGTTGCACGAGTTCTCACTTGTTGATATCAGCTGTTTTCCCTTATCACCTCACTCTCACCATTCGAAGTGGAGAGAGTTAGCAGCAGAACAACCGCACCATCTGGCAATCATTAGAAATGAAGGTGGGCGGGGTGGCCTACTCTTCACTGGCGAAGGCCCTACCCTATCGCCTTTTTGAAATGCAAAACTAGTACATACTTGCATCTTTATAGGGAGGGCTATGATATCCAGAGAGGGCGTGGGAACATCAAACGAACGCGGGCGCTGCCTTTAAATTTTGCTGTATAAATCTAAAATGTTATTGTAGAATCTGCCTCAAGAAAAGATTATTCTTCTCGGATGTTAGCTTGCCAGCCAGTGCCAAGTTACATCATGAACTCTGTCAGGTTCGCTTATAACTCATTCAGTTTGCTGTCTCATCTTTACTGTATCAAACTTCATGGTATTCTTCCAGGCTTTCAACATGTCGCGAATTTGGTACACGCGTAAGCAGAGCTCGTCTGCCTGGTATAGGATCTCTAGACCAAATGGACCGTCACTATCGTGTCTTGGGACACCTTTCGATGGTATACTGTGTGACTTTCGATCGGACAGGCAATTATGTGCTGACGGTTTGTTTTTCTTTGTTTGATTTGATCGAATAATGTGCACGGTTAAGTATCCAGTGATTCAGGTAAGGGGGCTATGGTCGCATTTCTTTGGGGGAAACTGGCGGAAAGAACTGTTAAGTGCGATGAACTTCAAAAAAAGATAAATTCTGGCAGGGCGAGTGCACTGTTTATCGCTACCAGGACCGTTCTTCCCTTCTCAGCTCAATGGCTTTTGTGGGCAGGAGCAGCCCCGGTGGCGTGATGGATAGCGCACTTGATGGACCAATGGGAGATGCAAGTTCAAGTCCCGCCTGGGCTTTGGCTTCTTGCCTAACTCACATCGGTATCCTTTTGACACACAATGAAGTGATAACGGATAGCACTGAGTGGCGTGTTGCGGCAGTTACCGCATTGTTGGCTTTTTCTCTTATTCATTCTCCCTTGAACCCCCTACCCTATATTTTTCTTCCTCCGACCCTCTTCCTATCCTAAAACTCATCTATCCTACTTGCAGGGCGCAGACGACAACCTCATCAAGGTATGGGATGTACATCGAGGTCTTCTACGTTTTACTTATCGTGGGCATTCCGCGGAAGTCGCCGATGTTAGTGTCTCGTATTGCAATCAAATGATCGCATCTGGGAGTGTAGACAAATCGATACGGTCAGTGATTGTTGTTGCACTCTTGGTACTATCCTATTCTTTCTACCAATACAATTTCTTCAGGGTCTGGTCCTTGGCTACAGGCGAAACTTTGCAAGTTTTCCACATTCACACGGCCGTTGTAGCACGAGTGAAGTTTTTACCGTTTGTTGATCAACAAAGAAGATATCTTGTTTCTTGTGCGCTTGACTGCAAAGTTGTATTCTATCCGTTCAACGAGAGCACGAAGGAGTTTGATTCAAGGTAAGTGTTTTATCATAAACTTAAAAGTCAAGCCCGCCCGGGTGGAAATAGTACGATAGAAATATTATGTGGAGCAGAAATAGCGAGTAGACTTTCGACATCACATGTGCATCGTTGCCTGCTTTTGTAACTGAGCACTCATTTTACAGCCCGTAAAAACAAGGCATACGCCTTAACCCACACGCTTTTTTGAGAAAAAAATCCATTCCGTCCAATTCCGGGTAAGAAAAGTTTTCTTTGCAAGAGAATATTGAACCGCTCCAGAGGCCTGTGAGTTTCCTGACTTCGTCAGCTATCCTTGACATTCCACTGGAATTCTGCTTTTCTATCTGTTTTCTATCTTTTCCATCTATTTTCTTACAAATGCGTTAGTGTTAATGTAATCGAAATTCGTAGCTTTGATTTTCGAGAGCAAACCTGATTTCCATAAGAAATTCTAAAATTATATGATTTCATACAAACTGTGACTATCTAGAGGTATACATGCGAACGCAAAACTGGGTTTTGACTTTTATCCAAATAGATTCACCATTCTCAGGGCGATAAAGCTTCTTCGGCCAGTTTTGGTTCTTGAATCGTATTTTTGGACCGTACATCTTCCGGAACGTGGGTCAGAATCCAGTTAAAGAACACCGTAGAAGGGAGACCCATAGTAGGGTGGGTGAACTCGAAGTGCACTGCCCAAATGACCCGGTTTTTTTGTTACAATCCTCCGTGAAAAATTGCCTGAAGTTGCCATCCTCTTTCTTTAAAAAATAGAATTTTATTTTAAATGAAAATAGAATTTTATTTTAAATGAAATTTTTTTATAAAACGAAGGACACGTAAAGAGGAGCATATGACAATCACCACTTGGCTGAAACCTTGGCATCTGCGAAGTCTTTGTCATTTATTTTTGGGATGCGGGATGCATTCTTTCCCTTTAAGAGTCGTACTAGCTTTTCGAATGTGTGGCCTATACAGCTGCTTGCGTGGCCAGCCCATGTGCAGGTCAGTGTTTTATCCTCCCAGACGAATCTGGTACCAATTTACCACCCCGGAGGGTAGAAGGCTTGGTTGGCCTGGGACGGGAGCCGATGCGGGATCTGAACTCCGGACCGGCATGGTAAGCGTGGCACTTGCTACACCACCTCCGCCTACTATGACGCCATAAAGGCGGTGTTTGGAAACTTTCAGTTTTGGTTACGTTTCCACGATCTCATAACTCATCTTCTTGTGCAGTTTCTCACTGTGGTTATGAAAGCTACTTAATTATTAAATGTAAGCTGTTATATGTTCGTGTTTTCAGCGGTATTGTCGTATTTGATGAACGAGAAGTGTTTGGTGCGAGAATAATATCACTGTGTCATAGCCCTAGTGGGCAATGGGTGGTCGTTGGTGATACTCATTGTTACTTACGACTATTTCGTGTGGCACGTGGGCCAGATGGAGGTGCCTCGAAGTTCACGGATATTTGTGCACACAATGTTCGTTTTCCTTCACTTTCCTAGCTCTGTGTTGTGCTGTGAATGTTAAAGCCGTTGTTGGCTGATGCTGGGAGCTACTGGTTAATCGTTATACATGTAACTTGTTAGGATCGAGTGGACAGTTTGGAGTGGGCTCACACGGGATGCCGATTTGCTTCGGGAAGCCGTGATGGTGTTGCGAAAGTATGGAAGTTTTCATGCGGGAAATGGCGGTCTACGTCTCTCATTGTACCCGGGTATGCGAACCACTGCACGCATTTGCAATAATTTCAATAGCTGAATGTCTCTTATTCAGATTCGAGCCAACGGAACTGCTTCCAGCAGCGCTAGCGTCCAGTGAGCGTCCGAAAAGTAAATACAGAGTGGGTATCCTTATCAATTTGCTGCGGTCTTGCTTGCTGCGGGTTAACGAGCTGTGCGAGCTGTTAGTCAGGTTGGGTTTGGCGCGGCGCCAAACCCGTTTTCCACCAGTTGTTGAAGTGAGCAAGCAGAGGACGGTATCATGTAGTTGGTATCGATCGTTCTTCATCTACTGCCGTCGCTTACCCTTCTCAACAACTGGCGAAAGGGTCTGGCGCTGCGCAAGATCCTTGCTGCCTGACACGCCCCGTCATCTGCAGCAACGAGACTGCATCTATACTTATCAGCTCACATTTCGCTCTTACTGACCTCTATTCTCCTTCAGGTTACGATGCTTTGTTGGTCGCTTGATGATAGCATGATAGTGACGGCTGGCTCCGACTATATTTGTGAGTGTTCTAGTTTTGAGCTTGTAAGATTTTAATAGTTATCCATTTGATTCAGTACGAGTCTGGAGCAGTTCTGGCGGAATGTTGCGGTGCCTTCCCGGTCATACAGATGATTCATTCGTGTTAAAAGCACATCCTGCGTTTCCGAGCGTAGTGCTGAGCTGTGGACATGATGGCGTAATGGTGGTGAGTAATATTTCGTAATTATCGAATGATTTCCACCATAAAATGGATATTTGGTACAGAAAGCCAACGGCGAATTCCAGTCCAGGGGATATACCTCCAGACTCCCCCATCAAGTATCGAAGCTACTCTCGAATAATAGGATCAGGGTAGAGCATCAACAGTTTGGGAAAAGCTCCCATCGCGGTCAGGCTGCCAGGAGGTCTTTGGCCATTGTGGGGAATTTTCACCGAAGCTTTAAAGAGCGTTTCGGTTGTTGCTTTCCTCCGTTTTTCCCGTTTCATGTCCCCTATATATTACCCGCGTAGTTGCAGGGGCTGTACACTTACCCCATGACTGCTATTCATGGTAGTAGCTGATTGGTGCGACAAATTTCTCTCCCTCCCCACTTGGCGGCACTTTCTGGAGAAAATCAGACTTTTTTGAAAACGTGTAAATCGCTAGGATCTTGGGAAAACATAGGAAGACGGTAGGTAGGATAGGGAAGGAGGGTCGCATCAGACGAAGAAGATCGTGCTTTGAGGGAAGGCTAATGCCGTTTGGACTCCAGCAACTTCGGCACCGAGCTCATTTTTAAATTACCTAAGTCGCCAAACCCGCTGAAAATATGTACACAAGGGTTATTTACCATCCTGATTACAATTATGACACTCATTCTTGGCGCTGGCGCCAAGGGATGACACTACGATTACCTCTTGGGCTCAGCCTTAGCGGAGCGCAGGTAATCGTAGTGTCATCCATTAGCGCCAGCGGCAAGAGTGAATGTCATATTCGTAATCAGGATGTTAAACTACCCCTACATACAAGTTTTTAGCGGATTTGGTAACTTAGGCAATTTAAAAATGAGCTCGGTGCCGAAGTTGCTGGAGTCCAACGGCATTAGCCCTTTGAGGGAGGGGGGGGGGGAGGCGGGAATGAATCGTAATGACTCTTGCATATTTTACAATGACGTCACGGGTGGTATATTCTGAATACGACGGCTTGGTGCCTTATAGCTGAGCTTCTGATGGGTCGGGAGGGGGGGGGGGGGGGGGGTGTGGAGCCAATGTACAGTTCAATGTTTTACAACTTCAGACTTGTCTGGTAGCAATTAATTGACCGCAGATTGTGGGATGAATTTCCGCGTTTATACTTTGCGGCTGATGAGTTTCAGAGAGAGGTAGTTCCGGAGATTCGAGAGATTGTGCGACTAGGAAGTATAAGTATCGATCTGGAGATTGCGGAGATTCAGCGATCAGACGACTTCCTAAAATGCCAGAACGCCGAGTTTCTCCAGTCGCCGGATCGCTGAATCTGCAATCGCCGGCGACCGGCGCTGGCCTAGTCATTTGCACGAAATCGCCGAATACGGCGAGTTTTTCAAATCGCCGAATCTCCTGAGTCCCAAGGTATGAACGCGGCACTAACTGGAAAGGGAGGATTTGATCTGAGATTCAATCCGCTGGCTGTGACTAGCGGTGCCACTCATCGCTACACCACCTTTACACAAATTCCGACTTAGTTCTTTGGAAACACTCCTTTGAAAGCAGGAAAGTCTTCGTTCAAAGTTTAATTGCAGTTCTGGGATCTTCATACTGGCGACATTGTGAAGAAGTTCACCAATACTGTTGAACATCGAGGACACTCAGCACTTTTCGACCTCGACATATCTCGTGATGGATGTACTGTAGCTGCAGTTGATTCACTTGGACATCTAACGATTTATAGTGTTGCGTCTAAATCAACGCGACCTGTTCCGAAGCAGCAGTTCTTCAACACCGATTACTCGTAAGAATGTGTTTTAGTTACTTTTGCAAAAGATATTTGTTCAAAAGGTGCAATATTGAGTCTTGGTAAGCATAATGTGAACAAATTAAATTTGAACCTGATTAGTGGGGGTATATTAATAGCACCCCAATCCACTGTAGTTACATCACAAATCGAGATATTTTGGGTTCTATTAATGCCATCTGTAATTGAACTTGGAAAAACTATGGATTTTTATGGTCTGCGGACCTTTTTTCCTTGTTTGAGACATGGGATTTATTTATTTATTTATTATATGCACTCCTAGGTGCGCTACATTCCTTGATACCATAATCAGGTCGGGACTAAAAGAAGAACGAAAAGAAAAGAAAAAGAATACAAAAAAAAACAGATCCGAAGAGCGGTTC